AGATGCTTTGCAAAGCACCTTCTGGATGTGCCTTTTCTGTGCCCGGCTTAGCGTACCACGATTTGTTGGTGCTCCGGGTGTGGGTCGAAGAAAATTCGAACCCCCAAAATAGAGTAAATCATGTGCTACTGCTGCTACTGTACTAAATGTGACAAATCTTGTGGGTGAGAAGTTAACAGTTAATGTCTGTATACTATACAGGTGGGTCGGACTTGTAACTGCGATGTAAATACATATATATGTATATATATATATAGATATACAGTACATAGATAAAATGGCCACACACATAACATGAATCATACCATATATATATATATATATATCAATTATACAAACAAACTTATATGAACATGCATCTTGTACCATCTCAGTAGGAATTATAATCCACCAGCCATGACCAACTCCTGTGGGGAATGATGGATGTGCTGGTTATCTGGAGGATGAATCATTTAATTACGGTTGCAAAAAGTCGAACCACAGTCATTTGGGGATCTTCCCCTTTGTCGCTATGTAGAACCACATGAAATCTGAACACGAGTTGTAAGAACAAGAAATCAAAAGTTTGCCCGGAGCCTTCAAGGTTGCAATACCCTCGCGCCTTTTGTTGCCCCTTAAACTGCAGCAACAATCAAATGGAGACTAATTCCAAGACGTAACAATGTGGCGAAAGCAGGGTTGAAGAGGATCCCAACATTTCATCTGCTCGGTTCATTCTCGGGCTGTGGAAAGGATGGCAGTTACACTTTTTTGAACCACAACCTTGTCCCTGCCAATCCGAATATGTTTCGACTGAGAAATTCCTCCATTTTCCAATTGGCACTTCCAATTAACCTCAAGCCTTTCAGGCCTTTCAGGTGGTAGAAACCAACTCAACTAGTCCTGACATTTGAAGGGTCGATTTTCCTACAACCCACGGGACATCTCAGATTTTTAACACTTTTTCCACGGGAATAGCCAGTTTCAGTCCATGTTCCCTCCCAGAGGTGTGAATCAGCATGCCAGCATATGTGGTGGACTGCCTGCTGCGCCCGAACAGAAGGCCCATGACAGAGGAAGGATGCGTAAGGTGAAATCGAATTGGTTGGAACATGTTGTAGCCATCATAATGAAATTATCCCAAATCAAGGGCAAAACACCAAATCGAAGGCTTTTACCCTCTGGAAAATATTTGCATAACTATGGAACATCATCATGCCATTAATGGGTAAATCCACTATTTCTATGGCCATTTTCAAGTTCGCTAACTGTAAGCGTTTACCAGGCCGGGTAACCCTTGGTCATCCGACTTGGCTCACGGAAGTGGGAAAACCTCCAACCATGCGAGGAGAACCAATCGGCCGAGCAGTTTCAAGAGCTCTGTGACTCGCATTGTCGTGAGATTCACGATCCAGTCACTTGGACGAAATGGCAAGGGAGCAAGCAACATTGATTTGTGTCAATAAGGGGGATGGATATATATATATATATATATCTAATTATATATGTACATATATAGTATGTATGACGATTATATGATTATTATGTATATATAACGATTATATATATAATCATATATAAATAAATTACTTTACTTCGAGTGATCTCCACCATGATATTTATCGATTTGTTACTGGCAAATCTTCTGGCATTCTATCTGACACATCTTCTGGCATTCGATCCGGCATTCTATCTGGCATATCTTCTGGCATATATTCTGGTATATCTTCTGGCATGTCTTCTGGCATTCTATCTGGCATATCTTCTGGCAGATGTTCTGGCATATCTTGTGGCAGTCTATCTGATATTTTATCTGGCATTCTATTTGGCATACCTTCTCGCATTCTATCTGGCATATCTTCTGGCATTCTATCTGGTATATCTTCTGGCATTCTATCTGGCATATCTTCTGGCATTCTATTTGGCATATCTCATGGAATTTTATCTGGCATATCTTCTGGCATATCTTCTGGCATTCCATCTGACATTCTATCTGGCATATCTTCTGGCATTCTATCTGCCCGTTGAGATCCAGCAGTGCACACTGAGCTGGGGAGGTCCCCGGTTGAGGTCCAGCGGTGCACACTGCGCTGGGCAAATCCCAGGTTGAGGTCCAGCGGTGCACACTGGGCTGGGCAGGTCCCAGGTTGAGGTCCAGCGGTGCACACTGAGCTGAGACGGTCCCTGGTGCAGGTCCAGCGGTGCACACTGAGCTTGAGGTCCAGCGGTGCACACTGAGCTGGGCAGGTCCCAGGTTGAGGTCCCAGTGCACACTGAGCTGGGAAGTTGGCAAAGAGCTTGGCGAAGAGAGTTGGCAAAGAGCTTGGCGAAGAGTTGGCAAGGCGGAAGTGGAGGTGGAAGTTGATGCAGACATAGTCGAGGAGAAACTAGAGGGGGAGGAGGAGGAGGACGAGGAGGAGGAGGAGGAGGAGGACAGCTAGCCGAGGAGGAGGAGGAGAACAGATCTGATAAAATCTAACAACCCTCACCTGGCAGGTGGGGAATAAACAACTAAACAAATGCATAAATATATGAATAAATAAATAGATAGACAAATTGATAAATAGATACATAAATAAATATGAATATACGTATATACTTCTGAAAACTATAAATCTATACATATCGGGGACTTAATGGGATCTGTCGGAAAATGGCAATCTGCCACCGAAATGGCAATTTTAAAACAGCAAACATGTTGATCATCCACCTGTTTTTGGGTTACCGTATTTTCAGACGCACCCGATTGTCAAAGCGGACACCATGCATGAAAACTGACAAGCCTTTGCGGGTCCATTGATATCCTCATTCTTTCCAGCCCATTCCATCAGCAAGCATGGGGCTTCAGACAAATATAGAAAGCAAAAACTGCAACCGCAATAAATCCAAATACCTCAAAATAGTAGGGAATCGCTGTTCTATCTTTTGGAACGGTTTTAAAGATCCGACAAGTCAGCAGCATACAGAGCACGGCATGTGAGGTGACGGGAAAAGAGTTCAGCGCTTGCCACTGTGAGACCACGAAGCATTGGAACAGCTCCGCCCTGTGCGAAATGGACAAGTTTGACTCTATGGCCTGCAGAGAATCCGTGGGCTACATTGCCAGGAAAGCAATGATAAAATATAATAAACCATAAGGTAATACATATTTTCATGGGTTATGCCCATTTATGGTTTAGGGATGGTGAATCCTATTGCTTCTTTACTAACATGTACCAGTAAATTAACAATATGGTTGAAGTTTTCTCGCTTGGGATGATGATTCCAATCGACTTCCGTGTCACATTTCAGTGGAATATGGGTCTGTCTGAAAATGATCACAAACCATAACCAGTTTAGTCGGGAAACTGGCATTTTAGACCGAGCTGGGACTTTGGGCTACCCCACCATGTACTGTACTAATACAATAGTAATAATAACAATAATAATATACATATACATATGTATATATATATACAGTGCACATGTTCAAAGGTGGTGCTGGCCCAAGTGGGAATGGTTTATGACATGGGGTTTTTGCTCAATATGTGATCTCCATTAGAATTGGGTATCAAGAAAAGAACGCGTATTATAATATCCCATTCTATCGCGGCATTGTGGATCCATCTCCACTTCTTTTCCTTACATAAGATTTTCCCATGATGATCACATGAATATTTCATACTTTGGCATCTATGACATTGGAAAAGTATGGAACATCTAAGCTCCATCATTTTTTACATACAGAAACATCCGTCATAACAATTTTAATATAGACCATATATATATATGTTTATAATGTATATATAATGCATATATATATATGTATGTTTATAATATATATATGTTTACAGCATTGATTATATCATTTTCCCATCATCCTTCACCTTAGCTGGACACCGGTCACTTTCTGTGATGAGGATTCGATGATGGCCATCTTGGACATTCAGGTGCCCAAGGCCAGGATGGTTAAAAATATCATAAACACCTTACTGGAATCATGGTTTATTTAGGGGAAATCATCCCCAGTTGTGGCCAAAAAAAAGATTCGGGTGAGTGAAATGTGATATATATATATATATATATGTATTTAACCCAGATAAAATGGAGATGTTTTTCAAGAAGTAACTCATTGATACTATGGCTAATGTATGGGTAAACTGTTTTACACCGAAAGCTGTTTCTATGAAATTTATTTAAACACTAAAAGACGAGTTTTTGATGGGAAGAGAGATCTGAGTAGGGGAACTAGTATGAAAGTGGAATTTCAACACCAATCAGGATGTAGCCGCAGGTGGATTCAAAATATTCAAACAACAACAGTGGTGATTTTACGCAAAATATTGCGGATCTCCATTTGCTATCAATATAAAATCATATAAAATCCAATCGTTTCGCTACCCGTGGGCGTGATGATGACTTGATACCTTGGCCGAGGATATCAAGTGGGGATCGCCAGGGTCGCCTGCCAGGGGATGCACTGCTGAAACACAGAAAAACTCGGGATTTGAAACCTTGATATTCTGGCTTAGCATTGCATAGCATGGAAAAACCTTCTGGTGGCACTAATGTTCGGGAGATTTTTCCGATTTCACCGGTGCAGGTGATCCAACGCAAGCTGAGTCATGTCATCGTGGTGGATGAATCCTTCGAGGTTTCTTGGCACTTTTTGACCAGAAATTATGGTATATGAATGTATATGATAGGTAATTATTGGGGACATCATGGGATATATTGTAGTAATTGTAGTATAAATAATGGGATAACAACTAGTTACTAATCCAATATTTCAAATAAATGGGGATGGGTCAAAATTTAAGCCCCAGAAGGGACCACAGATTGAAATGTATATGTTTAATATGAACCACCTAATTCTTGGCTTACCCAATTTTGACCTAGACCCACATTATTATTAGGGATATTTCATGGCATGTATTTGTATAACTAACCAACAATATGGGTGTGAAACTGGGTCCCATTCCATCCACTGATCATCATTTTCCCAATGGAACTGGCCACGTGTGACCGACCCTCTGGCAATCATAACTGGCAATGGACAAAAGATATTGACAAGAACATCTCAATATAGCAACATATGTAATATATATGTGTGTACATATATATATATAGAGGTATAAATATGTACGTAGTATAATTATATGGTTATACAATAGTATACAGTGATTCTTATATATGTATATAAACATACGTGTATAACATACTATAATATAATGTATACATATCTACTGCATACTGCATACGGCGTCTTTTTGTAGTGGTACAAATGTAGATTTTTCCATTGCGCACGGTGCTGTAGATCTTCGGCTGAGGTCTTCTCCCGCATTTGGGTCATGGCTGAGATCGCCAAAGCGCAACTGGGCCGCCACCATGGCGCAGTGGATTTTTTCCGCCACTGAATTGAGCAGTAATTGCTTCGTTTGCAGTTCGTTTCCCTCCAAAGATAGATAGATAGATTAGATTAGATTAGATTAGATTATAAGATTAGATTAGATTGGATGAGTTTAGATTAGATTAGATATATATATAAATAAATATACATATATATAAGCACTCATAAATCCATGTGGAATATGGTGATTCTGTTCATCGGAATCCCGTGAATCGCAGGATAAAAATTAGGTCTGCAGGGATGGGATCACACTCCTGAGGACATTCCAAATCCTTCCAGCAATTGCCAGCAATCTGAAATCTGATAGACGTCACTCTCAGACCAGACATCTTCAAAAATTGTTTTGGGTCCCCATTTTTGTTCGATTTTTGAAAGGCGCCTCCGCAAGATGTTTCCGGTCCTGAGCTTGAGGCAAGAACTGGAGTTGAACCAGGCACAGCGTCAGCTTTGGAGAGAGCCAGAGGGCTTTTTGTGGCAAAAAGTCCACTGTTCACCAGCCAGAAAGATCAGAATTTCAGTGGATAAAAGATGATCGAGTCTGGTGGATCCTCATTTTTTCCTTACTTAAACTTGCCATCTTGGACATTTCCCCCATTTTTCGCCACCATTTTTGATGTTTCAATCCCATCAAAACCATCCTTTCTGGAGAACGTCCTCAGGTGGCGCTTCTGTATCCTCCACCAGATCGGCTGAAGATCGAGGTGAAGGACGTCAAGGCGAAACGGCGAAGCCAGGCCATGCTGCCAGCTGGAGCCTGGGAGGATGACTTAACCAAAACATGTTTTATTGATGGCTAATGATGGTTGATGATGGTATCAACAAAACATGGTTAATCAACAAAACATGGTTAAACACTGTTAAACATAGCTAATGATGTTGATAGCCAATGTCGAGACGATGGTTATGCATATATATATAATCTCGATTAACAGTTAAACATAGTAAAACATATATATATATATATCATCTGGGTTCATCATGGTAAATCATTGACAATCATTGGTATATGTTAATGGTTAGTCTTGATAAATAATGGTTGATAATGGTTGATGATGATTAGCAGACAGTAAACCTGGTGGTTTGGTCCCAATTTGGGGGAAACTTCCTAAAACTCCCATGAAAAATGAGGACCGAGGGGGGTTCAGTTGACTTTCATGTTTGAACCCCCAAACAGTCCCTTTTTCTCGGACTTGTATACAATACACACTCATCATGTAAGTACAATATCATCACGTATGCCCCAGACACATGAGCAAAACCTATGATAAATAAATATAATATATAATTTTATATATACATACACATTACAGAGGAGAGTTGTCTTCCTCTTCATTTTTCAGCATGCCGTTTGACAGCGAATCCTCAAGTGGATCTATATAATGGAGCATCGCAACAACCTCGTGCGCGTTTTTAGCATCAGGCTGCATAGATGGTCCCGACAATTTGGATGGATTTAGCGAGTTGCTGAATTTGTTTGGACATCAGCAATTTGTACCCTCTGATAAAGAAACATAGCTATTTAGAATGGCCATTTATAGTTGATTTACCCATTGAAAATGCTGATTTTCCATAGTTATGTTAGTTTACCAGAGGGTATTTCTTCTGCGTTCAATGTGAACATCATGATTTTTTTGTCTTCGCCGCTATGTCAATCCTTGTGCTCTTTGTATGCAAACGCTGATTTTGGATACCTTTTCGTGGTTGGTTGTTTCCATGACTGTCATACCACTACCCTGGTTTCTGATCCATCACAAGCAAGGCTTGTACATCGACAACATGTACATATTCCACAAAACTGATTGAAATTATTCCCATATAATACATGTATGTGTATATATATATACATACACACTCATACTACTGCCCAAAGTTACTCTTTTTCGTAGTGATGCTCCAATTTTCCTTCTACCTATTTTCCAGCGGCCATCTTCAGGTTCCCTCCAGCGCAGCTTTGGAAGTGGCGCGCGTACGTGACACCTTGGCGCCGTGGCGTCATGGATTCAAGGGGAGGAATACAGAAAAATAGGGGTTTTATGGGATTCAACCACAACAAATGATGATTGAAGCAGCACAAATTTGCGACTTCAGCAGTAATGATTGAAATTTAAGATATTTAAGCTGCAAACAAGGCAGCTTAGGGCCCGAAAATGACAATTTGATGCGATTTGCGATTTTAATCACCAATACTGCCAATACTGGGGCGGGAGAAGAATTTCTTTTCCCATGCTTGGGTGCTTCAAGCAGCAAACCATGGGCAAATGGCATGCCTATCGTTTTTCCTAAAGGTACCTCGGATGATGATTGGATACTAAACACCATCAGCTTGGCGTCTCCATCGGCAGCCTATTTTTGACCCAGACCAATTTGGAAGGGTTGTTGAATTTGATGGACCCTCAGACTGGAAACTCGATCGCGCAGTCAGTCTGAGCAATTCATACTGCAAGAGTTGAAATTCAGAAATCCCGTCCGCCTCCACGAGAGTAGGATCCATGAGGACCCACCAATAGTCACAACCCCAACCCGGCAGAAGCAGAAAACCACATTGGCGGACCCCAGCGGCAAAAGTTTGGTGGCAGGTTGATGATCCAGGTGTGGAGGTATAGACCCGTTTGATCCTTGTTTGCTAGTTTGATGCATATTATATCAATAATGATGTGATCCAATTTTGGAGGTATCCTCCTTGTTATGACATCATGTTTATACACATTTTGGTTAGGTTATTTCAATTTGTTCCTTCAATGTGCTTGGTCTTCTCCCCATTTTGCTGGCTTTCCTCGTTCGCCCCAAGTTTTCTCCGTTCTTTTCCCCAATTTTTCACAAAGAGTTCCAAAGGTGTTCCCATTTTTCCCCAGTTTTCCACATTTTTCCAGCACCACGTCTTCGTTGCATTTTTGCCGCACTTCCCGGTCATTTCTGGGTCGCAATTTCTTCACTTCGCGCAGCCCCCGCCTTAGGATATCCGCAACTGCAAGGCCAGCCGGCAGGAGGATGTTGAGGCGATCCTGGGGTCCATCCCGGTCCCTTGGCAGCTCCAGGAGTTTTTCGGGACCTGATGGGCCTGTCAAGAGGAACATAACCATTGGGGTAATGGCGATTTATGGCGATTAATGGTGGCTATTAATGGCTAATAGTGAATTCATATTGGATACCCTCTGCTCATTTAACATAGCGAACTTGAACATGGCCATAGAAATAGTTGATTTATGTTGATTTACCCACATAGTTCGCATGGTGATTTTCCAGTTCGTTATGTAAATGTTTACCAGAGGGTACAATCCCAAAACCCCCTATTACTAAACGGTCCACCCAAATAATAACCCCCTGGAGGAGCTTTTAGGGGGTATTTAGTATTAGGGTGCGAAGCTTCCCCCTAATCCTAAATTAAACACCTAATACAAAATACTATTTTTTTCTATTTCAATATCGATTAGATTTCCGTTTAAAATCTAATTAAAATATTGCCAAAAGTTGGATTTCGAAGCTGTTCCCTAATATTAAAGTAAAAACCTATATATATATATATGATTATATATGATTATATATGTATATTCGACCTTAAAAGACGAACCCTAATAGAAAACATCCCGGGGTTGACTAGTTTTTATTATTAGGGGGTGAAACCCTGAAATGGGACCTTCATTTTTAATTTGTTTTTGAAAGGGGATCAATTAAAAATTAAATTGGTCAGTCTGAAATTTCCCCAAATTTAACGCGGACCCTCGTTTTGAGTATTTGGGGTACGTTTAGTAAAAGAGGGTGGGGATTGCTAACATTAATGCATATTAATGGTGGTATTTTGATAGGGTGATATGGGGAGCCGCTCGCCAGCTACTAAGTTTTTTTTTGATTTTTGTGTCTTGTTTCTTGAAGGCTAGCTAAAAGATTTATTTGTACCTACGTAGATTATGGTTTTCGGGGGGTGTGCCAACAAATTGCCAACAAATTGCCGTATCGCTTTATGATGATTTACAAACTGATGAATTGGTACTCCCTATCACTTCGGGGTTTATTTGTTCGCTCAGGGTTTGCCAGGCCTGGACGGCCTGGATCAAAATGATGGTATCCCTGGGTGGTTTGAAGTCTCCTGTCCCACATCCGAATTTTGCACCATTTTGGTTGAAGATTTTGTAATGTTGGTTCCTGATTAGTGTGTGCCCCCCCCCCCTCCCCTAAACTATTTCTGGACTCTCTTTAAAGTAGAAAAGCAAAAAAAATCTTCCCAAAAGAAAAACATATCCTCGATTAAGTAAGGATTTCAATTGGCTACAATCGAAATCTAATTAAGATTGTTTTTTTTTGCCGATGAAGTTGTGGTATTTGTAGTACTTGTAGTACTTGTAGTACTTGTAGTACATGTAGTACTTGTAGTACTTGTAGTACTTGTAGTACTTGTAGTACTTGCTGTAGTACTTGTAGTACTTGTAGTACTTGTAGTACTTGTAGTGTAGTACTTGTAGTACTTGTAGTACATGTAGTACTTGTAGTACATGTAGTACTTGTAGTACTTGTAGTACATGTAGTACTTGTAGTACTTGTAGTACTTGTAGTACTTGTAGTACTTGCATTACTTGTAGTACTTGTAGTACTTGTAGTACTTGTAGTACTTGTAGTACTTGTAGTACTTGTAGTACTTGTAGTACTTGTAGTACTAGTGGAAAAGCTGTTCTTTAATACGGGTTCAATATCCTTTGGGAAAGGCTTGGAGTTTGAATTTGGCAATTTTGGCAAAGGCTTGCTTCCCTTCTGGGCTTCCAGGGGCTGCTCTGGCACAGCTTGCTGCAATAGTGAACCCAGCAAACAAACCTACTAAAGTGAAATGGAGCCTCTCCTGGTCCAGGGCCTTGGGAAATTGTGGAAAAGCTGTTCTTTAATAAGTTGGCTCCTTTGGGAAAGGTTTGCTTCGCTTCTGGGCTTCCAGGGGCTGCTCTGGCACAGCTTGCTGCAATAGTGAACCCAGCAAGCAAACCTACTAAAGTGAAATGGAGCCTCTCCTGGTCCAGGGCCTTGGAAAATTGTGGAAAAGCTGTTCTTTAATAAGGGTTTAATAAGGGATTGGTTCTTTGGGAAAGGCTTGGAGTTTGAATTTGGCAATTTTGGAAAAGGCTTGCTTCCCTTCTGGGCTTCCAGGGGCTGCTCTGGCACAGCTTGCTGCAATAGTGAACCCAGCAAACAAACCTACTAAAGTGAAATGGAGCCTCTCCTGGTCCAGGGCCTTGGAAAATTGTGGAAAAGCTGTTCTTTAATAAGGGTTTAATAAGGGATTGGTTCTTTTGGGAAAGGCTTGGAGTTTGAATTTGGCAATTTTGGAAAAGGCTTGCTTCCCTTCTGGGCTTCCAGGGCTGCTCTGGCACAGCTTGCTGCAATAGTGAACCCAGCAAACAAACCTACTAAAGTGAAATGGAGCCTCTCCTGGTCCAGGGCCTTGGAAAATTGTGGAAAAGCTGTTCTTTAATAAGGGTTTAATAAGGGATTGGTTCTTTTGGGAAAGGCTTGGCGTTTGAATTTGGCAATTTTAGGAAAAGGCTTGCTTCCCTTCTGGGCTTCCAGGGGCTGCTCTGGCACAGCTTGCTGCAATAGTGAACCCAGCAAACAAACCTACTAAAGTGAAATGGAGCCTCTCCTGGTCCAGGGCCTTGGAAAATTGTGGAAAAGCTGTTCTTTAATAAGGGTTTAATAAGGGATTGGTTCTTTTGGGAAAGGCTTGGACTTTGAATTTGGCAATTTTGGCAAGGGCTTGCTTCCCTTCTAGGCTTCCAGGAGCTGCTCTGGCACAGCTTGCTGCAATAGTGAACCCAGCAAACAAACCTACCTTGACTGAGCTACAGCGTTTTTGAGAAAAAAATGCGTCTCAGCAATTACAGTTTTTTTTGCAAAAAAAAGGGCTCTCCCAATTTTGTTTTGCCACAAAAGCGAACCCTCCAAACAATACATGAGTTTCAGAATAATTTGGAAAAAATTTGCCACAATAGCGACCCTAGGTACTAATCAGGACCCAACATTAAGATATTGGCTAAATTTGGCTAAGCTATCCCATTCCGGTCTTTACGGTGCTTCACATCAAAGCTGCAGTTTTTGGCGAAATACTGCTCCTTGAGGACGTGAATGCCTTCAACGAACGGCTCAAGGAGGTGCTCTTCAACGAGCAGTCGGGTATTCTGGAAACCTGGAGTGCCTTGCTTCAGTTTTCCAGGTATGTCAAACCCTAAAAAGATATGGGAAAGTGAAGGATTTTACCATCATTTGCCACTGTGTTGGTAGGACGTCAACTTTTTTTTGTGTTGGTGGGGCTACAAATATCTGGGTCTGGGCCCGATATCGCCAAGATTTTTGTTGTGTTTTGGGTTTGAATCTGTTAGAATTCTGAAAGTTCTGAGATTTTGTGAACTCATTTGGGGGGCCGGTGCCACTGGAAGCAGATGGTCTATAAACGTTCATGATCTACCAGTCCTAGGCTATGAATATTTTATTATTTCCGGTCAGAAAGGTATGATTTGCAGGATGATTTTCATTATCCATGTTGAGAGTGCACAAATGTGCACACCAGGGTACCTTGAGATGAATCAATTCATCTTTCTCCACGCCGGGCTTTTTACGGCTTGCCGACCGTAGGCGCCGAACGCTGTGCTGGTTTCTTTGATGTCATCGACCCGCTGAAGGATTTGGTCTCAGTGCAACAGCTGTCAGCACCGCAGGCGTGGCAGTGGAAGTCTTTGCTGAATTGGGAAGTGATTTTGCTGTGGTAAACCCAGATTTTGCTGAAAAGAAAGGTTGATGGTTTATGAAATTGGGTACCCCTAGATGGCTGGGATGCATTTTGTCATAGGCCCCGTGCTGGTGAATGGGACGGTTGATTTTTTGGGTTACCACATTAATCCTAGTGATTGGGATTCCAAACATTGCAAGATATTGTCCCAAATAGTTTGACTCTGAAAATCAGCATTTCGGCTTGGAAAATAATCTTCCACCCCCCCTATTCGGCAGGGTCTATGTAAATTTTGGGGATGGTAATCCTATTGGAATTTTTGTCAGCATTTCCGTTTCAGCTGTCGCTATCAACAGCCTTGATCCTGCCTCAAAGGTCATCATTCAATAAGAAGTCACTACTCTAACTGCCCATGTATCACCTCTAGGCGGCTGGTTAAATGTTTTACCATGTTTTACCGGTGATCGTTTGACCGTTTGACCCTTCAAATCATGGGGAATCCAAAAACTCCCGTTCTCGTTTGTGTATAGCCCTCCAGTAAACAAACTTATGGAAAGGGACAAAATTTACCACTTATATCATCTGGTATCCATTTACAATATGTTACAATATATGAAAATATATGATGATCAAAGGAAGTTTAGGGGGAGAAACTTCCGTGTTACGGACTTTTAGAATGTCAGGGAAAGAGTTAGTCAAAGAAAGAGTTAGCAAAGAAAGAGTTAGTGAGGGAAAGAGTCAGTCAGAGAAAGAGTTAGTCAAAGAAAGAGTTAGTGAGGGAAAGAGTTAGTCAGGGAAAGAGTTAGTCAAAGAAAGAGTTAGTGAGGGAAAGAGTTAGTCAAAGAAAGAGGTAGTGAGGGAAAGAGTTAGTCACAGAAAGAGTTAGCAAAGAAAGAGTTCGTCAGGGAAAGAGTTAGTCAAAGAAAGAGTTAGTCAAAGAAACAGTTCGTCAGGGAACGAGTTAGTCAAAGAAAGAGTTAGTCAGGGAAAGAGTTAGTCAAAGAAAGAGTCAGTGAGGGAAAGAGTTAGTCAAAGAAAGAGTTAGTGAGGGAAAGAGTCAGTCAAAGAAAGAGTTAGTGAGGGAAAGAGTTAGTCAAAGAAAGAGTTAGTCAGGATATATGAGGTAGTGAAAGAAAGAGTTAGCAAAGAAACAGTTAGTCAGGGAGTCAAAGAAAGAGTTAGTGAGGGAAAGAGTTAGTCACAGAAAGAGTTAGCAAAGAAATTGTTCCCTCACTGTAAATGGGATTGCAAGTGGTGCTGGTGGAGGAGTTGCCGATGGAGTTTTGAAGGAAGTCTCGCACGAAATGCGTTTTTGAGAGATAGCAGATGCACGAAACCCTGTGTTTTTCCAGACAAAGTGCGTCCCCGAACGTCGATGATCTACCTCTGCGGTGCGACGGGTGCGAGACGGTCTCGTGTGTGGTCGGATCATGCTCGGATCGGTCTCGGATCATTCTCGGATCGGTTCCGCATTGTAAATGGGGTTTCAAGTGTTTTTCGTGCATGTGCGGTCGACAGAATTCCATTGTGATTTGCAACTGTAGGATCGTTCCCGCAATGTAAATGGGATTGCAAGTGGTGCTGGTGGATGAGTTGCCGATGGAATTCCATTGTGATTTGCAACTGGATCGTTCCCTCAGTTGCAAGTGGTGCTGGTGGAGGAGTTGCCGATGGAGTTTTGAAGGAAGTCTCGCACGAAATGCGTTTTTGAGAGATAGCAGATGCACGAAACCCTATGTTTTTCCATACAAAGTGCGTCCCCGAACGTCGATGATCTACCTCTGCGGTGCGACGGGTGCGAGACGGTCTCGTGTGTGGTCGGATCATTCTCGGATCATTCTCGGATCATTCTCGGATCGGTCTCGGATCGGTTCCGCATTGTAAATGGGGTTTCAACTGTGTTTCGTCCATGTGCGGTCGACAGAATTTCATTGTGATTTGCAACTGTAGGATCGTTCCCGCAATGTAAATGAGATCGCAAATGGTGCTGCCTTGACAATCCAACGCTGCTAAAAGGACAATGTTGGGCACAAACGACAAGTTTCCCAGAAAACGATGTCGTTTGTATCCAAGGTGTCGGATGCATCACATTTGCACGCAGCTACCTTTTGCTCTTTACGCAAGAAAAAATGATTTCTATCTTTTTCTAGCTTCCAAAAATAAAGAGCGCAAAAGAAATCGGTTAAAACGCCAGCTTTTGGCGCAAACGCCAGCGGTTCAAACGGCACTTTTTTGCTGCCGGAGATGAAAAAGGTATAGGAAGAGCAGAACCGATAGAGAAAAGACAGCCTGTTCTTTACGCAAGAAAAGTTTTGATCTCTGACTTTTTCTGGCTTCCAAAAAACAAAGAGCGCAAAAGAAATCGGTTAAAACGCCAGCTTTTGGCGCAAACGCCAGCGGTTCAAACGGCACTTTTTGGCTGCCTGGGATGAAAAAGGTATACAAAGAGCAGAAACAATAGAGAGAAGACAGCCTTTCATATATATGGTTTGGCTAGCAAAAAAAAGAAAGATACAAACTTTCCGTTTGAACCGCTGCCGTTTTCGTGCAAATGTGGCGTTTGAACCGGTTCCGTTTGCGCTATGTTTGCGATCTTCAAGTTTGCAGGTGCATGGAAGTGAGTTGCTTCAACGCCAAAAGAAAGTAAGCTACGAAGCTGGCACTTGAACGCGCTGTCTTTTGCGTTAAGGATATGTCGGTTAGATCGGCTTTCACCTCACAATATGTTTTTTGCGAAAAAATTTGCAATGCTTGCGCCTATCTAAATTTTTTGATTTTTATACAAAGGAAAATTTTTTCAAATACATGATGTAAACATGGCGTTTGAACCGCTGGCGTTTGAACCACTGGCGTCTGAACCGCTGGCGTTTGAACCGCTGGCGTCTGAACCGCTGCAGTTTGAACCGCTGGCGTTTGAACCGCTGGCGTCTGAACCGCTGGCGTTTGAACCGCTGGCGTTTGAACCTGTCCCGTTTTCGTCAGAAAGTTGCGCTGCTTAAATTTGCTACATGTCTGTTAAGCGGTTAAACCTTGTCCCTTTTCTATATGTGCTGCACCCTTTCTTGCATGTTAGCAAAATTAAAAATCTATAGAGGTGCAAACCTGTCGTTTGAACCGCTGGCGTTTTTGCAGAGAAGTGGCGTTTGAACCGGTTCCGTTTGTGTTTTTGTGTCCCGGGAGCAACAAAAAACGCGGCCCAACTTGGGCTTGTTTAGACACAAGTGAAAACATACTGTTTTACAGGAGGGCTCAGCACTGAGCACATCCAAGATGATGATTGAAGACTCGGCGTGTGTGTGCAAAGCGACTTGGCTTAGCAAGGCTTGTTGCATAGCAACTGCCCTGCTGTTTGCATGGAGTGCTTTGCTTGATTTGGACTTCTACCGCTTGCGGTCGCTGGGAGAAAAAAATATATATACATATATCACACACACACACATATATATATATATTTATATTTAAATATATTTTTTGTGACTGCTTACGTGTATATGATATTTTTACATGTGGTTTACGCAGATTCACCCATTGTGATTTGTAACCCCTTTTTGGAGTGGTGGTGTCGAGGGAGATGTAAACAACTTAAATACCAAAAAATCAAAACCACCAAACACCAACAAAGGAGGATACCAAATACGTATATCACACACACACACACATATATATATATATGTATTTATTTATTGTGACTGTTTACGTGTATATGATATTTTTACATGTGGTTTACGTAGACTCACCCATTGTGATTTGTAACCCCTGTTTGGAGTGGTGGTGCCGGGGGAGATGTAAACAACTTAAATACCAAAATGTAAGAACCACCAAGCACCAACAATGGAGGATACCGGGCACATGGTTTCCACTTCATGTTGGTGATGACATGGGCAACACGCAACGTCCGTTCGCCAGCTTTGCCGTAGTTTGCCTACCATGTGGATCCATTAGTTTGATCAAATCATCAGAAGGGGCCCACCCTGACTTCTGAACAACACATGACATGAAAAATTGGTGGACACGACCTTTGTGACATCCACCCCAAAACATACCAAACTACAGTCGCCAACAATCATACGCAGGGAAATCACAGCACACTTCAACCTTTCCACCGCCCCGCTCTATGCCGGGCCATGCTGAATGTGTTTTTTTTTTGAGGCGCGCCTCTCTGTGCAAACTCACAGCACTGCAGCAGTGCTGCTCTGGCACACTGCCCAAACCAGACGAAAGGTAAGGGACCCCTGCAACATGTTTTTTCACCGACTCTTTTGAAACATGTTTCAAAGTTTGAAATCTCATCCTTCATTCCCCATCCACCTTTCGACATTCTTCGAGGTAAACGGCTAGGCACAGAAAATATCTTTGATATAGCCTGTGGCAGCATGATCTCCCATGACATTTGGTCCCGATGGCTTTTAGCTTTCCCAGGAACGATTCTTCTTGAAACGTATGAAAAAGATTTTGATTGAGCCTCCATAGTTTGATTTCTACAGAGGTGTGCCAAAGGTAATGACCCTTGCACCGAATTTTGAACATCATGATCCTAAGTTTATAGAAATGGTCAGCCAGCACTGCATACGTGCGCAAATGAACCTGGAGGCTGTTGGATGCTTCTTCCGCTTCGCCGGTGGTCAAGACAAGGCCTGCACCATCCTGAATTTCAGTGCACCTTTGCAGGTGGTAGGCGCAAATGGCCAAGATGTTCACGATACGATCCTGAGAATGGGCTATGGTTGAACCCAATCAAAGATCAAAGAATGGAATTGACTTGTAGTTTATTCGGATTGAATGTAGTATTTTTGAACATGAGACAGGTACCCAATGAAAGATAAACTAATGGAATGATGGGTGGTTTTTTGGGATTGGGACATTTTGAACATGAGACAGGTTTTCAAACTAAAGATCAAAGAATGGAGTGGAATATGGCAGGGAAGGGGTTTGATTATATATTGGGTTTCTCTTGAAAATGATACAGGTACTTAATCAAAGGTCATAGGTTCGTCTGGGAATCGATCAGCTTGTTTCCTGGTTTCACGCGCCACCCACCAAACAAGGATTTTGACAGCTGAACCTTTGAACCGAGAAGATAGTTCTGCGTAATCATCATCACCTTTCAGACTGTTGCTATTGATCTGTGGCTTTGCCGGTAGGCCCAACCTTGTTGCAGAATGGAATTTACAACATTAGAAATGAGGAGCAAAACAAAACCCTGGTAAATTGAGTTCTTGGGGGGAAAGAGGAAACAGGGTTCCAAGTTGAAACCAGACACTTGTACTTTGAACAGGTCTTCCGGATCCGTGCATCTACATAAGACAGAACAGTATCCATGTCGGTCTCACCCAAGAAGTTGTAGCAACCATGCTGGATTAACGTTTTCAGAGCAGAGGCTACGAAATCTCTGGCTGTCCCCAAGTAAAGGTTGTGAAGAAGATCCCACATCATTGTTTCCATATTGAAGCCTGGAACCGATAGCCAAGGGGTCAAGCTGGAGCTATCCAAATGGACATACCCATCATGGTTGATTGTTGTCAGGTCGTAAGCTTTTCGACTGCTGAAATTCTTGTAGTTCATGGGATCGGGCGCGTCCTTGCCTTGACATGCCAAGCACCTGTCGCACATCCTGAGAAACAAGCACCAAGCGCTCCAAGAACAAACAGTTGGGAATTTGGCGATAGTTCCACCCTAACAAAGAAACAAAACAAAAATTCTAAATGTGTTTGGATGAGCATCAAGTTGCACTGGTAATTTCTCTGCAGGTTGTGAACATACACCCGGGCTTTCAAGTCAGCTTTCATCGCTATGTAGCAAGCCCTGAGAGTGATGTGTCAACGCTAACCCTGAACTCTTTACTTAAAATAGAGATAGGACAATTTTCCTGTTTCCAGATTTTAAAAAACACATTGGGTTGAAATCCTGACAATTTGATAGTGTACCGCCAAAGTTCCGCCATCCTGAAGATAGCTGCCGACCCTTCATAGAGAAGCGATATGTACCCTTTTCAAACGGCTCATTGTAGAAACCGACGTCAGGCGCCACGCCTTTCGCAGCAAGATCTACAGACCAGGCCACAAGCTGTGCGATGACATTGTTGACTTCACGTCGTACCTGTGGCGTTTGGGGTATGATGCAAAATGATGGAATTCCAAAATAGTAATATTGTTTATCCAGATCTTCAAGCAAACCCAAACACATAGAGGGATATCGAACATTTCAAATCAACAGTTTAAACTAATCAAGTCAAAATTTACTGATACTGTTGCTATCCAGATTCTTCCACATCTTGCATGAAACGTTCTGGAATGATGGCCAGTGGAAATTTCATAAGAAGCACATCTTTGACATTGCCCCTGCTGCCAAAAACTGATCCAAACGACCATATGAAATTCTCATCATCCCTATAGAATTGTGCTCCATCGCAATGAAGGGCAAGCGGTATCAACGACTCAAAATCCACACCCGGTTGGCATAAGACTGGGTGGTCATGCCAGGGCTGCAGGGACTTGATGTGTTCGAAGAAACCACGTCGTGCTTCCCCATCCAAATTTCCCAGAAGAATCGAGCTGAACACATATGGGGGGCAACAAGTAGCCAAGCAATCAATCACCTCGTGTGGGAGTAGTACCTTGACCGGCGTTTGCTTTGGAGTCTTCCCAGAAACCTGAGGTTCCACAGAGTTGGATGCCAGGATTGAAAAAACCAAAGGTTCTTCAACCTATAAATTAAACCCCATTGAAACAGTTTAAATTTTATCCCAAGATATCCCAAGATACTTGGCAGGGAGAAGTGCCAGGGTTGATAAAACAAATGTATGGATATCCATTTGTAAAGTTTCATTGAATCTCAGGATACTTGCACAATTGGGGGAGAAAGTGCCAGGGCTGATAAAACCGATTTTTCCTCAACGTATAATTCAACCATTTCAACAAGTTCTTTTTGATCCCAAGATATCCCAAGATACTTGGCATATCTGGGGACAAAGTGCCAGAGTTGATAAATCGTGAAAAATGTAAGTTTCTCCAATGTATCAACCAAACACACATTTAGAAAATGATTCCTTTTTTCCCATCAATATATCCAAAGATACTTGAAGCATCAGGTAGATCGTGTATGACTGCAGCTTGAAGTTGTATAGGCCACGAAGCCATCTATGCAGGTCCCTTTCAATGTTCCCCCCATACTGCGTATCTGACCCTAAGCTAGCAAAAGCTCGGATTGCAGGATTTGGCATCTCCTTGTGGTCTTCAACCTTGGCTGCACAAAACTGTGGCAGGCTTTTTTGGGCTGAGTGTTTGGATTATTTCACTGGGGTGGGTTCAAAGCTTACATCAGTATGACAAGAAACAATAGAAGATGCAATTTCAGCTGCAGAGTTTACAGAGATTTTTCCTCGTCCAATCATATCGGCCAGCTTGTGCACGGTCTTGGATTCTGGATAATCTTCCAACCGTTGTCTCTTCCTGACCTTGGCCCCGTTGAAAGATAGCACTACGACTTAATTTATGTTTGAAGATCAGGTCAACCAGTAACCAGATTTTGATGCATCAACACTTGGGTATCCATTTGGGTCCCAGAAAATCTTCCATACTTCCATTACATCTTTTTGAAGAGAACACACATTTGGAACCATGATGGAATGGATATCGACCCAAACATCGGCACATTTGGGCCCCAGAAAATCTTCCATATTTCCATTACATCATTTTGAAGAGAACACACATTTGGAACCATGATGGAATGGATATCGACCCAAACATCGGCACATTTGGGCCCCAGAAAATCTTCCATACTTCCATTACATCATTTTGAAGAGAACACACATTTGGAACCATGATGGAATGGATATCGACCCAAACATCGGCACATTTGGGCCCCAGAAAATCTTCCATACTTCCATTACATCATTTTGAAGAGAACACACATTTGGAACCATGATGGAATGGATATCGACCCAAACATCGGCAAAAGGCGCCTCGCAGTGGAGCCATGAATGGTACGGGCACCTGGCAGTGAAGAAAGGTAACGCAACCCCAAATTCTAGGTGCGACCTCCCAAAACAAATCACGGCTGCTACAAACAGATGAACCCAATTCCCATAATCTTTGTTTTGTTCAGTCTACCCTCAGAGAGTCTCAGAGAACTTGGATCCATATCAACATGACTGCATTTTTTTCGCGCACGAAACCATGGAAATTATCCTGACCAATGATTGGTTCGGTGACTCCTGGCAGTCCATCAATCAGGCGCAATGGAACACTGGTTGGAATGTTTTTTTTCATTCATCCATGTTTGATTCATCCTAATGAAAACGATTTGAACAATAGCCTGACGCTGGCTGCTCTAAGGAATCAAAGAACTAGCCACAAGTGATAAGCACTTGTTCTGTGAACCCCGCAAAAGAACCCATCATGTGATGGTGCTACTACTTGGCGTCTTTGCTCTTTTTGCCTTTGGCCTTGGACGTCTTTCCCTTCTTTGACTTTGCAGCTGGCTTCAACAAAGCCGCTGAGGCTGCCTTGCGTGGGAGATGGGCGACTGCTTTGCAGTCATGAGTGACATCACACGTCAAGGGCTCAAAGTGCTGGGCAATGGAAAGGTTTTGGCAGAGGCATAAGTGAAACTCAAACATCTTTCTCCCAAATTGCTCATGAAATTTGAATATTCACATTTACCTGTGACAGCCGAGAAACCCTGATAGTGGTAGGCCGTTCTGTGGAAAAAAGGTTTTCAATATATATTGGGGTCGGATAAAAACTGATTGATTTTGAACATCTGTTTGATTTTGAACATCTGTTTTGAAGGAGCTGTGCTTGGTTGGACCAAGACAAGTATTGACTATTTGCAAACTCTTATATACCCCATTTGCTCTCAATCCCTCAAACCGAAAGACAGAGCCGTCAGACTGCCAGCAGGCCTGGGCTTTCTCCGTGAAGACGTTGGCTTCCGTGATCTTTTGAACCAAGGACTTGAGCTGCTTTTCGGGCTCCTTATCCTCCAAAGCATTCTTCAAATTTCTGTAGTATCCTTCAAGCTTAGAAGCATGGGCCAGAAGCTGGTCTGACAGCTCCTTTGCATAGGGAACACCGGACAGCTTGATGGATTCTGTTCTAGCTTTGGCAGCATCAGAAAGTAGGTCTGGCAAAAGATCTTGAGCCTTGTCTTGCAGAGTCATCGGCTTCATCTCCTCGGATTTTCCTTCACCATTCTTTTCCTTGTTGCTTGCCTTTTTCTTTGGTGCAGCTTGGACCTGCAGCCATTGTTGAGAAGAGATATACTTAGAGTTTTGTGACAATATTGTTGGCCAAACACATCAAATGAATTCGATAAGCGTTGGCTCCAAAGGTTGACATTGAATTGAAACAAAACGTTTCAGCTTCCCCTGTTGATAGTGAGTAGCCACAGGTTTGATGACCAACATTCCCTGAGTGACATTGATTTAGTGGTGGATTTGGGAGCGCCTTGTCGATCGCATCAAGGAGCTGCTTATTGCCAGCTGCCGAAGACGTGGCCATCTTCGGAAGTGCACCAGGCCTGAGCAACCCATCCTCTGGGTCGATCAAAGCCTGGCGTAGCTCTGGGTCAACATCCATCTTTCCCCTCAAAGTCAAAGATTCTGAAGTCAGATCCTTTTTCTTGAAGGTGTTGCCGGTTCGGACGTAAAACCATGCTTCCTGAAGCAGCGTATGGGAAAGACATGTAAAGATTATTGCACACGCCTGATTCCCACCAAAACACTTTAACCAGCATTCCCCAATACAAAAGGGATAGATGATTGCAAAGATTAGCATAACTTGCTTTTTTGAATCCTGGGTGGACAATATTGGCATGAAGTTGCAAATGGACATAATCATCAAACTTCTTGGGCGTTGATGATGGAATACAACACATAGGGGGAATATAAGTAAAAGTAAATACAAAACAACCCAATAGTAATCTAGATTCATCGTCGTCGTCCGGGAAGTCATCGTCCGGGTACCATAGGCCTTGGCTCTTTCTGGAGGCTATGAGCTTGTCCGCTTTCTCCGGTGTGTTCTGGTATTTGGCCTTGAGATCACGCCCTTGGATTGCACACCATCCTCGTTCTGCTTCATGTTCTTGTTTGATCTTTCGCTCCAGAAGCAGCTGGCATTTGTTCCAGTCGCGATTTGAGTCCAACCACATTCCGAACAAGTCTGTCTTTTGGGACGCACTGGCCTGGGCATACTCACTAATTTGACATGGGATTTTGGAATTGGCCTTCAACTGTCGGCAGTATGCATCCCACTCCCTCTTGTTTGTGGTGCTGTTGCGAACCACCTCGGTTGCTTCGCTTGTTGCCTTGGTTATGGGGACCAAAGCATGCTGATCAGCTGCAGGGATTGCTTCTTCAGGTTTGGGAGGCTGAACGTGATCATCACCATCCTCTTCTTCCACCTCTTCATCACCTGAAAGACTTTCCTCGCTGGACCCTTCATCATCGCCATCTTTCTCCCTTCCTTCTTCCCCTTCATCATCACTCTCTTCTTGCTCCTCATCCTCCTCCTCCTCCTCCTCATGATCCTCACCCTCATCGCTTGTCTCGTCTTCCTCTTCGGTTTTCTCAGTAAGACTCTTGTCGGCCTCACCCTTGCCTTCCTCTTCAGATTCCTCTTCATTCTCACTGCCTTCTGCCTCCTCTTCGTCACCTTGATCACTCTCTGCCTCATCCTGTCTTTTTTCTTGGATGCCCTTCAAAAACTCCTCCATGTCTGTGGCATCCACAGACTCAGAGTCCTCGTCCGTCTCCTGGAGTATGTTTCCAAGAGAACGTAGGTGCATCTCAGCCTTCTCCTTTGAAGACAACATTCTTCCAGAGCTAGCTGAGGCTGAGTCAGACTTGATCGGAGTAGTGAAGATGTGTTCCACCTTGGACTTCTTGCTTGGGACGAACGTGATTGGAGGCTCTTTCTCTTTCTTATTGTTTTTCTTCGGGGCTTCGTTCTTCTCTGCTTCTGCTGTCTTTGCATCATTGTCTGTCTCCTTTGCCTTGCCAGCATCTCTTTCTCGGCTCTTCCCTTCCTTCTTCACATCTTTGCCTGTCTGCTTTACCTTGCCAGCATCTCTGTCTTGGCTCTTCTCTTTCTTCTTGTCATCTTTGCCTGCCTCCTTTGCCTTGCCAGCATCTCTGTCTCGGCTCTTCTCCTCCTTCTTCCGATCTTTGTCCTTCTTCTTCTCCTTGCGGCTGTCTTTCTCAGTGCCTTTTGCATTCTCCTTACCTGCATCCTTCTCCTTGTCTTTCTTCTTGCTTTGCTTCGTACCATCCTTGTCTTTCTCCTTGCCGCTCTCTTTCTTATCATCTCTTTCCTTCTCCTTGCTTGCATCCTTCTCCTTGTCGTTTTTCTTGCGCTGGTCTTTCTTCTTGTCTTTGCTTTTGCTTCTCTCACTTGCCTTCTCCTTCCCAGTGTCTGTCTTCTCATTCTGGGTGTTCTTCTTGTCTTTGCTGGTATCTTTCTCTGTGCCTTTGCTCTTCTCCCTCTTTTGCGCTGCTAGGATCTCCTTCACCTTTGCCTCCTTAGCAGCAGTCTCGGGTGTGCTCTTGGCACTCTTCACCTTCTCATTCTTAGGAGCTTTTGAGCTGGCCGTAGAGCTTTCTCTTTCCCTTTTCTTCTCGACCAAAAAAGCCCGAACTCTTTCACTAGGCTTCGATGGAACAGAAGGTCTTCTCAACGCTGGGGGTCTCTTGACCGGAGATGGGGCTGACTTTGAACGACGCCGTTTCTGGGGGGGCTCTGCCATGTTGCACAACCCCAAAAAAGACTTGAGACAAACGCTTGAACCCTAGCACGCAAGCTAAGGAATACAAATCGCAGGCCCAACAAGTTGACATGTTTGGACTCCAGCTGGGCCCATGGTGATTTCAAAAATGGAAAAACTTGGGAATCATACAAGGTGCAGGTTTTCGCACCTATGCGCAGGTTTTTCTCTCCAAAGCGCACGTGTGGATTTGATGATTTTTTTTTTCAAAAAAATGTAACTGGAAGGGTTTTTGATGGTTTTCACTTGGCATCAGAAACCCCGCCACATTCCACGCCGCAAACAGGCCAGATGCTCCAAAGGCCCTTTTCAAAGTGAGGCGCGGCATGGTCCTGCAACGGCTGGGCATGAGAGAACCCAAGGGTTACCCATGGGGGAAAGAGACTCTATGGACCTGTAATGTTTCCTCTGCCGATTTGGTGGGGAGTTTCCCAACAATTGAAGGAATTGAAGGGCTGCCCGATACTATTTTACGGGTTCTGTTGATGAAACCACCTGCAGGTGAAATATAGATGGACCTGTGTTTTCCTTTGTTTTCTTACCAACAACATACCAACAACATACCAACAACAAGTCTGCACTGCAAACTCCTATGCATATAAGCGCTTTCTTTTCTTGGCTCTGCAGATTTTGCTTTGTCCCCAATATCGGTGCCAAGTTTGTCATAGTTGGGCACTATGGTGGCTACAAGTAGAAACCATATATGATAATTGCAGAAGGTGTTGCACTTGAGAATCATAGACCACCAGCCCCAACAACAGTTTGCCAACGCTGTAGTTAAAAGACCACAGCTTTGAATTTAAAGCTGTCCCCATGAGCTGAAATGTAATTTACTTTCCAGCTAGGAAATCAAGAACAGGCTGGAGGTTTGCACCAGCAATCCAAGCTCGGTTTAACCGGCTGCTGGTGTTGAACGTAGCACCAGACCCCTTAGCTGATCGAAGAAACTTGTTGGCCTTCCGAACAATCCGCTTGGCATGCAAGGTGCGACATCCCGCCAAAGCATCACCAAACCTGAGAAAAGGCTTGGAGATGGGAATGTTACTTTTGGGCTGGCCGATGTTTAGACAAACTTCTAATTTTCCTGCTGGTTTGGCACCCCAAAATCTGACCCCCACAACTCTACCCTCAGTAACCTTTTTCCTACAGGTTTGCTACATGTTTAATTGGTTGTGGGGGTCAGATTTTGGGGTGCCAAACTAATTGGAAAATTGTTAAGACAAACCCATATACAACCTGGAAACATCTTGAAAAAAAATCCATGTTCTTGATAAGGGGCTGTTTGGGATACGCCTGGCTTTGTTTCAAATGACGTCCCCCATGACAGCGAAGCTCCCCTTTAGCATTGCGGTAGCGAACCACCATTTCTCGCTCCTCCAGCCTCTCCTCCTGTGCAAAATCATCGATGCTGTCGATCTCTGGGTGGCCTGAGATTTGACAAGACAAACTCATCGATGTTTTTTCGGCATCTTATGGCTCCAGAAGGGAAGTGAATAGTCCCATCACTACTCCAGATTACACTTTGCCATTTTGGCCGTGTTTAGAACTGACCCCACCATCACATATCCACACCCGAAAGAAAAATACACCTTTTGGGTTGACAACATATCAACAGTTACTAAATGAACCATGGGGCTTGAATATAAAATTGTCCTCTTCTTGGTGGGAGACCCGAAGTTTGACATATAGATGATCTTTCTGGTGACCGGTAGGATTTTGAGAAGGAATTGAAATAGTGGATGGGCTTCCATCAAACTTGTTGATGGTTGTTCTAACACCCACCAGCATCCTTTCGCAGCTACCAATAGAAGGAGCACAAATGCTCTTGCAGCGAGCAGGTTTCCTTGGAGCACGGCAAGGGAATCCTTTCGACCTAAAGGCTTGGCCTTTGTTCTCAAAGTGCTGCCCCTCGACCTGGGATGCAAGGGGATATTGAATTGGAATCATAATTTATATACAGATTATATATATATATTTTTATTTATATGTGTGTGCGTTTATCTATATGCATACTTATCTAAAGATTGGGGGGTCGAAACTCAATGATGGTTCCAAATCCGAGGGCTCATGGACCCACATGTTTTGGTGCTCAAGGGAAACTTTTTTGTATATATGTACATATGTATATATATATATATATATGTGCATATGTATTTATATGTATGCATGCATGCATGTATGTAATGGTAGGTAGGTAGGTAGGTAGGTAGGTAAGTAGGTAGGTAGGTAGGTAGGTAGGTAGGTATGTATGTACATATGTATAAATATGCTTATTTACACGTATATATGCATGTGTGTAAAAATGTATATTGATACCTCTAAAAGACGTTTATTTATTCAAAGTTGCATAAAGCAACCAGAGGTACTTGCAACAAGTAACCATAGCAAACAACTGGACCTACCCTTTGTGAAAAACGGTAACATCAAAGGGCGCGAATAAGGCTGCTTATTCACGCCCTTAGAGTTTGTTGTCTGCAACAACAAACTTTGCAAAACACACACAGCTAATTTTGGTTCACCCAAAACTTTTGTTTGAGGAATAAGGTTTGTATCCTCCCTCTGGGAGGAGTCCCAACTTCATTCTATTCTTATATACTTATATATGTATACATGTACATATGTATATGTTTTGATGTATTTGTACACCAACCTTAGGCATTCCATATGATGTCCTCCAGGGTGTGCCTGGAGGACGTTATCTATATATCTGTGTATGTACATATGCCTATATGTCTACACATATACACTCATAAAAAATATGTGTCGTTGTGCACATACATATATGTATATATGTAATTATGTAATTCTGTCAATGTACCTGTATGCATACATTCATGAAAATACTATATATATATGTGTGTGTGTCTATGCATGCATGTATGTATCTATGTATCTATGTATCTGTGTTTGTGTATGTATATATACATATGTATATGTATATGTAAATATACATACATATATATATATATATACATATATATACATATATATATATATGTTTGTGCGTGCAAACAAGTATGCATATAATCTGCTGCGGGGGGGAACCATTGAGGATGGGTGATAAACAAAAACAAAATCCATCTGGATAGGCAGATAAGGAACATAAACACCCACGAAGAACATACCGGGGCAGACATGTGGCCACCCCCTGGCTTTAGGTTGGCCGCAAAGAAGAGGGCATTTGCAAATCCCTCATTGGACAGCAAATCCATGTTCTTGGGATCGTAGGTCACGTCAAATGGAATGGCCGAACGTTTGGCCTAAGATCAGATTTGGAACCAACGCAAGGAAATCAATTCTTAATCAACCCTAATTGTAATTTTCCTGGTGGTTTGCCACCCTAAAAAAAGGCCCCCACAAGTATATTCCCAAGAGCATTTTTCCTATAGTTTTCCTACATATTTGGTGGGTTCCTGGGGCCTTTTTTTGGGGTGCCAAACCAACCGGAAAATTACTAAACCCCAAACTCTTTGATTTGAATGCCAAAATTCCAAAACACACAAATGAATGGTTACACCCCAAGATTGGTGGGAAATAGAATTGTACCTTTGTTTTGGGGGGCCCAAGGGCTCGCCATTCTGCCTTTGTGACCTCCATCTGACCCGCGAACACCTCGAAGTGGTCACATGGTGATGTCCAGTCCAGCCCGGGCACTCCAAAGAGCAAGGCAATTAGAGTGCCAAAGACCTAGGGGGTAGACCATAGGAAAGATCAAATGCTTGTCATTTTATACGATGGATACACGGGAAGCCCAAATTTACAAAAATATGTTGGGCAAATCTTAGAAAATATGATCAATAAAGGCATGTTTCCACTGGAGCTTTCAATGACTTCAATCCCCTGAGGATAGATGCCCTTTGCTTGTCCCGCATGCTGCGGGGCGGTGGACCCTCTTGGGGTTGATCGGAAACCTTGAAAGGCAATCCTTTCTTCACTGATCGCAGGGTTTTTTCCCCCTCACAGCGCTTTCCCATGGTCGGTAGCTGGCAGCTGGGTTTAAATCTCCAAACACCTGAGCCTAAATATGCCATGTATTCAATGCATTTGGGTCCGACATTTTTCACTTGCGATTTGCGCCCCTGCTAGTGATCCAATGGTGGTTTCAGGTGTTGATCCCTATACAGGATACTAAATATATATTATAATCATATGTGTGTTGGTAGTTGGTGGGAACCAGCAGCTACACACCAACAGCCTGTTCACCCAGACCCAACCGCATGTCCTTTCTTTGCAGGTGAATGCGGTGGATCCTGGAGACGCAGTTCATGATCGAGTACCTGGATGCAGGCCAGACAAAACTCATTGGCAGGTCCCCCACACAGTTGTGAAACTTAGACATTGAAACCGATCTTTGGGGGGGAGGAGAGATATCAGTTTACGAGATACCAACTTGTATTTGGGTTCCACACCATCACAACTGGCCAACCCGGAAATGACAATACTTTCATTTGTCGCTGCAGATCTCGACGTATCCAAAACACTAAGCTAAAGATGCTACAGGCTAGCTGTAGGCGCATAACCTTTGTCACAAAGGCTTCCTCCAGAAGTCCTAAGGAAGAAGTTTCTTTGTACTTCATACCCCATAAGAAGCTTTGCAATGCCAGGAAACACAACACTGCTTCATTAAGATGAGTATGGCTTAAGGCTTAAACAAAACCGGACACTTTGATGATCTGATTATCATCAGGTTTAATCTCATGATCTGGCAATGACTCCCACTTCACTCAGTGGCTCCCGGAAAACCTGCTCTCATGACAGCAATGCTCCAAGCGTTGGAGGCCCCACCAAACTTGCCCCACGAAATCTGCCCCAAGCGTTGCTGCTCCTTGGGGGCATACCCCACAGAGTCCGATGATGAAGCTGCCTTTCCATCCGTGGGCACACTGCTCGCCAGGCGCTTCACGACGAAAGCGCGCGTCTTGAGCAAGACCTCGATTGCCTTGGCTGGGCGCTGAGATGAGCATGCCGGGAAGAGACTAAATTGCCCAGGCCCATATAGAAGGAATAATTTATTGGATTTGCTTCTGAAATCTCGTATGATAAACACAGGTTCAAGTCACATCTACAAATGATTGGTGTTTTGCTACTTGTGATGTCAATAAACGAATCCATTAATATCCAATCATGTGGTTTGATATGTGGTTTGATGGGTTTTGAACGAGTAACTGCACCATTTGGTGCCTTCAATGTGTAGCCATGCTTTCCAGCGTATGGGAAACCAGCCCGCGGTCGGGCTGAGCGTGGTAGGCCAAGCTCTGCTAGGTTGTAACCACGAAACTCTGTCAAGACATCCCCAGTGGCAACATCCGCAGCTGACTTGTCATCAGCCTTGAGGGCAGTCATCTTCTTGGCCTCAAACAGGATAACTGGTGAGGATGGGGGATTAGTTTTGTAATTGTTCAAAATTAGAACCCAACATAATTCAGAATATGTGTCGATTTCATGAATCCCCCACGGACCATCCATGTAATCGTGTCCAAACACAATGAAAGATCTCCTTCACAATCCAAACGATTGGTTGGTTCGTTCCCACCGCATTTCACAAGTATGAGTTGGTCAGGTCCTTGTAGCCAGAATGGCACAAACATATTTTGGGGGCCCATTGGACAAGAAACAGTTTGGGGGCCAACAACATCTGGCGAATCAAGGCCGCGAAGAACTTCATCGGTGCGACGTGGTCGCTTGCAAGGAGGGGCCCGGTCGCCCTTCTCTTCGTCGAAGTCAATGGTTTCCCCCAGGTCCATCATGCTCATTGCTTTGTTCAGAGGTCTTTTGGTGCTGCCCTGCGACATGCGGTCATGGGTTCACAACATTTGATGAATAATTTGCATACATTCTGAAGAGGTTTCATAAGGATCATGAGGAACGATTTCATGACAGGTGTTCATGGCAGAACATATAAGGGTCGTGTTTGAACTTATAAAGATAGGACCCCATTCAACCCAAAAGTTAAAGTGAATCAGAGCTGGGACGTCACATCCAATATGACATATGGGTATGTCTCCAAACTGGGGACGGACTAAACAAAAACACACCGTTTGGAAACTTGTTTTTTGAGAAAACTGTTTTTCAACATCCTTTTTTCAACATCAATTGTGTGAAAACTTGTTTTTTGAAAAAACTCAAAATCAAACAAACTCTGTATTGAAGCGACCCCCACGGCCATTGGCACCTGGCCACGTGCTCCCTGTGCAGCGGCAGATGCAGCGACCTGGTATGGACAGTGCAATGGTTTGCACTTGGAATGTCAGAGGATGCCAGAGGTGTGTCGCTATATGGTGATGGTAAGAATGCAGAGAAAAAACGTATCTAATCATATCTAATCTTCATGATCCTCATCTTCATTTTCATCATCACCCATTATCATCATCACCATCATCATCATCAGCATCACCATCACCAATTTCATCATCATCATCATCATCATCATCATCATCATCACCATCACCATCATCATCACCATCAACATCACCACCTGAGCCCCCCCTGCCTTCTTCTCCTCCTTCTTCTCAACCCAAGAAGTGAAGTTCTCGAGGCAGGACAAAACACCATAGACCTGGTGCCCATACTGCTTGAATGCCTTGCAGCAGTGGGCTTTGTATTCATCTCCGGCATCAGTATCATCGATGCTGGATCCCAATTGCCCTTCCAAGTCCGCAATCACATCGCTCACCAGGCCGTCCAACTCAGCCTCGAAGTCCTTCTTCTCCATCTCGGCCTTCTCCTCCTTCTCAATGTTGTTGTACACGTTGTAGGCTTTCCCAAGCCATCCAGATGAGACCTGAGAATCTCCCATCTGAACCTCCTCATCCTCCTGGCCCGAAGAAGTGCTTGAGATCTCCTGATCAGAGGCCTCACCAAGCACCAAGGTGTCCGCAGTGACTGAATCTTGAGAAGAGCTGGGATGAGCCACAACCTGGTCGGCTTCATCCTCAGCAGATTCACTACCATGGCCGGACGCGTCATCATGGTCATCGGGGCAACCCCCATCACCATCACCATCAGATTCATCGACACCATCCCGTTGGGCATCATCCTGATCATCCTGTTCACCTTCGCCATGGCGATGACCCTCATCAGCAAGAGCTTCACCATCACTTGAAGATTCGTCACGAGGGGCACGGCGCTGTGGAACCGGCGAAGGCCTCAAGAAGCTTTTCAGCTCTGTCACACGACCGTTGAAGCCCTGATCCTTCGAAGACCTCCAGAGTGCACGCAATGCCCCCATCAGTCGCTTGCTCTTCAGAGCTTCGACAGCTGCCACGCTCATGCGGGTCTGCCCCTCTTGCTTCACTGGCTTGAGGAGCTTAAACTTCAAAAGTTTGTCGACCATCAACCATACGTCCGTCATGAAGTAAGCTGATGGGACCTGCAGGGGATGTGAACAAAACATGTCAAAAAACTGCCAAAACCGTACATACATGTTTTGACATGTTTTGGATGGCTTTAAAAACGTGAGTGAAATCGATTCTTTGCAAGTGTCTTGACATGGTTTATCATTGTTTGAAAAATGTATGAACCTGAAAATGTTGAAAAAAGTTTTGAAATGTTTTGAACGTTTGAATGAGATGTTTTGAAATGTTTTGAGATGTTTTGAGCTGCTTTGAATGGATTGGGAATCTGAGATGTTTGAAAATGGTTTGAATTCGTTTGAATGGATCGAACATGTGGGAATCTGAGATGTTTTGAAATGGTTTGAACTGCTTTTCATAGTTTGTAAACATGTGGCCTTCGTCGGCATGAACAAGGCCAATGGCTTCAAAAACACGTAGTTGTTGCTGATCTCACGTGCAGTAGGTGTCTTGATGCCAAGGCTCTCAGACAAGTCTTGTAATGGGGATCCTTTCCATTCCTTATCATCGTCGATCAGGGTAAGAAGAGTGACAGGCATGTCGTGGACAATGGACCGGGCCAACGTAACCTCAGGTCAATGTTGATACCCCCTTCAACGTTAGAGTTATAGTGATCCCCAAGATGCGTGATCTGTAAAAAAAAATGACTGTAACCAACCAGGTACCGTGTTTAAACACAAGTTTTATATTTGATATTTTAAGGAGCTCTTAATGGGTATTTGATGGAAAAGAGATGATTCAAAAACAGAGCCAAAGAACGACATCTTCCTCGGTCCAATTGATTTTCCCAGGCCCTTAGCGTGGGTGAGGTCTGACATTTTCTTGATTAGTGGAACGTAAAATGTTTTGTGATTCAAATTCGTTCTGATCAGGGATATGGGTGGAAACATTGTTCGAAAACATATTGTTCAAACCAATCAGTCCCAGACGAACTGATCGCCATGGGGTCGTGCTCTCAGGAGCCACGTGCACAAGTGCCATTGCAACAGCAGAGAGGGAGAGGCAGGAGTACCCTGGGCGCCCCAACCAAAAAGTTTCAAATCGGCTGCATGAGAACAAACGTCAAATTTTCAAGGGAGCTGAAAAAACCAATGTTTTCATGTTGTTGATTTCTAGACCATGTGGAAATCAAAATTTTGAGAATGCCCTTGTCCCAATTGACTTGTCACACAAACCTTGGGATCCCTTGGGCGCACGTTGCACCGCTTGGTCAAGACTCCCTTCCTGGCCTCAGGCGGGATGAGAAGGCAGCTGAGCCGAGCTGAAGGTTTGGGATGGAGATGTGAAAATCTCACTTGTTTTCAATCATAAAAGGGAAAATACCATTGGTTTCCAAACCTGTATGACTTCCTGCGGTTGTCACGGTATGGCAGTGGATTGCATGGTGATGTCAACACTTATCTTATACAATCGGGTTGTACCCACCACAAAACAGAAATCTGCCACTCTGCAATGTTTATTTCAACCCGAACATGCATTGCTTCACCACAAAAATCGTTGTCCATACCGGCGCTGTGATTCCCGGCTGTCTCTGGGCTTGGTGCAGGATGGTGTCACAATGCAAAAAAAATCGCATGGAAACGACATTTTCTAAACTCCCGGATCTTGCGATAAGATAGACATGCTTGGACTTGGGATGTGTAATTCTGTAATTTTGTTGAGCTATAGATATGGGATTTGATCCATGGGTATGTGATCTTTGTCAGTAAGAAGAGGTGCCCCTTTAAGCTGGAAGTCTTACAATGTGGTGCCCCCAAGATAGCTAAGTTGGTTTATAACTCTAATAAGTAGGACTTATGGTAGATATATCTACAGTTGATGGGATTATAAATCAACCTATAACTAGGGGGCACCACCTTGTAAAACAAATTCCCACAGTATGACCACCAAACTGCTGTGTCAATCTGTATGCATTTAGGTTTGCCTGCACCAACCGCGATCCCCCACGCGGCTGTCAAACTTGCGATGTTGGCCGGCGAGACCGGCGACTGAAAATGTCAGTGGCCAACTTCCGTCTTGTGTTTTCTGGGCTGCAGGGTAAACGGTTAGTACCTGGGAATTATTTTGGGTTTATCGTAGACTAAATTTGATTGAACAGTTGGAAATTCATGGTTCTGGGCATGGTGGTTTTCCAACATTGCTTGGGGCATCGCCCCAAGAGAAAACAATTTGGAAGTGATCCCAATTAGAAAGAGACATTTGGGGTGACCAGATCTTCCAAATCAAATTTTTGGGGCCATTCCAACGAGTACAGGGAACCAATTTGGAGAATACTTTTTCGTTTCAAATCATTTTCTGGGGGCGACATCCAAATGAATAAGAATGAATGTAACCCTCGTAAGATCATTCCCAACGGGGTGCCATCCTAAAATTACCTATTCAAGGGGTGCCATCCCAACAAAACAGTAGCAACAATTTGGGTGTGTTTTTTCGGATCAGATTGTGCTTCATGGGTATCATGTTCCATGTTTTTCAACTCAAATCAGATCATGTTAACGGTGGTTTTCCTCGTTTTTTGGGGCGCTATCCCACTGGGTCTTCAAATTAAATATATGTAATATATATATATATATGTATATATATATACATATATGTGTGTACATGTTATGTATTTAATCCTTTTCTGGATCCGCACTGCTCTAAAGAAAAATGACCAATCATTGGCCCGACTGCGTCTCGCTCTAGAAAAAATGACCAATCATTGTCCCGAGTGTGTCTGCAATGGCATGGTTAGAAGCCAAATATGTTTGCAGCGCGGTGTCAAGATTGCAGCTTCATGGTCATGCATGCCTTTGCACGCAAGACTTCTACAAACGGCATGTTTTGCAACTAACCACACTAGCAACATGCACTTCGTAGCAACGATGTCCAAAGGGCAATGTTGGATTGTCAAGGTGGTGGATGAGTTGCCGATGGAGTTTTGAAGGAAGTCTCGCACGAAATGCGTTTTTGAGAGATAGCAGATGCACGAAACCCTATGTTTTTCCAGACAAAGTGCGTCCCCGAACGTCGATGATCTACCTTTGCGGTGCGACGGGTGCGAGACGGTCTCGTGTGTGGTCGGATCATTCTCGGATCATTCTCGGATCATTCTCGGATCGGTCTCGGATCGGTTCCGCATTGTAAATGGGGTTTCAACTGTGTTTGCGCGTAGTTCTATTGTGTTTTGCAACTCAGTCTCTGCAGAGCGCCTTGTAATGGCTGCGTCAAGGTTGCTTCGTGCTGTGGCTGCATGCGTAATACCATTGTCTTTTCCAGCTGGATCTCGTAAATCGTATTGGAGTGGCTGCATGAAGGGTGCGACAGTGATTTGTCAGCAGATTTTCTCCATTTTGGCGCTAGTGATTTTCCTTCTAAAAATCCTTTTAAAAAGTGCTTCAAAATCGTCTTTTTTTCGCTCTGGCCGGTTTTGGAGCTACAATTTCCGATGCCATTGCGCGTAGTTCTCTTGTGTTTTGCAACTCAGTCTCTGCAGATCGGATTGTAATGGCTGCGTCAAGGTTGCTTCGTGCTGTGGCAGCATGCGTAATACCATTGTCTTTTGCAGCTGGATCTCGTCAATCGTCTTGGAGTGGCTGCATGAAGGCTACGAAATGGATTTGTTAGCAGATTTGCTCCATTTTGGCGCTAGTGATTTTCCTTCTAAAAATCCTTTTAAAAAGTGCTTCAAAATCGTCTTTTTTTTCGCTCTGGCGTCGAGATCCGGTTTTGGAGCTACAATTTCCGACGCCGTTGCGCGTAGTTCTATAGTGTTTTGCAACTCAGTCTCTGCAGATCGCATTGTAATGGCTGCGTCAAGGTTGCTTCGTGCTGTGGCTGCATGCGTAATACCATTGTCTTTTGCAGCTGGACTTCGTAAATCGTATTGGAGTGGCTGCATGAAGGCTGCGACAGTGATTTGTCAGCAGATTTTCTCCATTTTGGCGCTAGTGATTTTCCTTCTAAAAATCCTGTTAAAAAGTGCTTCAAAATCGTCTTTTTTTCGCTCTGGCGTCGAGATCCGGTTTTGGAGCTACAATTTCCGACGCCGTTGCGCGTAGTTCTATTGTGTTTTGCAACTCAGTCTCCGCAGATCGCATTGTAATGGCTGCGTCAAGGTTGCTTCGTGCTGTGGCTGCATTGGTAATACTATTGTCTTTTGCAGCTGGACTTCGTAAATCGTATTGGAGTGGCTGCATGAAGGCTGCGACAGTGATTTGTTAGCAGATTTGCTCCATTTTGGCGCTAGTGACCGCTAGTGACCTAGTGATTTTCCTTCTAAAAATCCTTTTAAAAAGTGCTTCAAAGTCGTCTTTTTTTCGCTCTGGCGTCGAGATCCGGTTTTGGAGCTACAATTTCCGTGTGGACTGTGGACCAAACGCTTCGAAGTGAGAAGTGTGGACTGTGAAGTGTGAAGTGTGGACTGTGAAGTGTGAAGTGTGGACTGTGAAGTGTGAAGTGTGAAGTGTGGACTGTGAAGTGTGAAGTGTGAAGTGTGGACTGTGAAGTGTGAAGTGTGCAGTGTGAAGTGTGAAGTGTGAGGTTTGGAGTGTGAAGGAAGCAGTGAGAAGTGAGAAGTGAGAAGTGTGAAGTGTGGAGTGTGAAGTTTGAAGTTTGGAGTGCGAAGAGTGCAGTGTGCAGTGTGAGGTGTGGAGTGTCGAGGGAAGGACACGGTCGGGACAGGGTGTCTTTGAACTATAGGTCATTTATGTTTGGGAAACTTCCGCCGCCGGCTTGCCCGGGTCTATGTTATATGATATACACAGTGTTTTCCCATTTTTGTTTATAAACCTGGAGGATTCTGTTCATTGCGTAAGCGTTACGACCTTTTGAACGACGCGTTACGTTTCGACCGTTTCGACGTGTACAGCGGCAGGTCATCATGTTGGGGCAGGATCCGTGGATCCGGGGGCTGCTGGGGGAATCCCATATTTTTTGGTCCCACTTTTCCAGGGTGAAAACGGTGACTGGTTGATACAACGGTTGGTGGTGACTGGAACATTGGTGAAATGTATGGGGTAATGGTGGTGAATGATGGTTAATAATGATTAACAATCACTGGTTGGTGGTTTGGAACATGAATTTTATGAATTCCCATATATTGGGAATGTCATCATCCCAATTGACTCAAACATATTTTTCAGAGGGCTTGTTTTACCACCAACCAGATGAGATTTTCTGATCATTTATGAGAATTTACCCTGATTGTTTGGAGTTGATAATTTGATTTACCCTGATTGTTTGGAGTTTTGATGATATGTTTTTATGTAAATCGATATACCGTGGTAAAGCCAATAACCCAGACCATCTCCAAGATCACCGGTATAAACCCTCCGAAATTGGATGATATGCATCCAGCTTGGGAAGCGGCTAGCCACAACGGCTAGCTAGCCGAGAAAAGTGAGGCTTTAGTGAAAACTGGTGACTGGCTATTCATATAGCCAGATGGGAACCTACAATGAACCTGATAGGACCTGCTGCTTCAACCGCCATCATATTGGGACACTTTTGTGAGACACTCCTGTTTTTTTTTGAAAACCTCTAAAAAGGATATGCTAACATAATACATAATATGTATGTGTATATATATATACATATACACATAATCACATATATATATATATATATTACACTGAATGAGTGGTAAACGGAATCTTTTCGAGTTTTTTGGGTGTTGCGAAATATGTACAGACTTGTGGTATGACCATATGGCGCTTCGTTCCAGGAAAGCACCGGGAAATCCACACTGTTGGAACGGCTCACGGGACTTCCCATCTTCCCACGGAACGCTGATCTCTGTGTCTTGGATCTTCCTTACAGATTTTCTTTGACAATCCGTTGAGATGTTGAAGAAGAAGGCTCCGTGATGTTTCAGAACAAACTTTTTACATCATTCATCCTCAAAGCCTGCAGCATTTGGGGGAGGATCTGACCTGAATTTTGTTTTCTCATTGCCGCTCATAGCCTAGAAGCTGGACCCCCCATTTTCCATCAGGCAATTATCGGGATAAATGCAAAAACAGCTGGGCTGTTCCACCTCCACTTTAGTTGTCCATCTTTCATCATTGTTCATCAACCGGATCAACCAACTTGAGGCCCCCCACTACGTATTCTACTTCCTGTACTTAAACTGGTTCCATGATCATTTGTGTGGAACTTCTAGCCCGGATTTGTGATTTCAGCACATCATATCACATCATCATTTTTGGTCAGTTGATCCTCCTTTTGTAAGGCACAACCGAGCGCAAGCCTCATAGTTTTGGTTAAGATCGCAGCGATGGCCCTCAGGCACCCGGTCCCTGATCAAAGTCCGACTGCGCCGTGGTGACATGCGGAAGTTGAAGCTCCTGGTGCAGGACATGCAGTCGCAACAGGATGAGCCCAGCGCGCCTTGAAGACTGGCCTGGACGTCTGAGAATGGGGGTACCCGGGTAGATATGGTGAATTTGCGGAGAAAGATCACTGACAAGATGGGATAGGGATGGATAGGGTACTATCCCCATTTTGAATTACTGTAGTGACTATATTAATATAGTGAAATATAGTAAGTATAGCCCCAAGTTTTTGCCTTTTCACTTAGTTTGGGGGCCCTATCCCAGTCAATTCAAAGACAGGACCCTTCCAGCTCTGGTTGTTGTTTCTTTGCCGTCCCCCGTATTGGGACAGGAAGACATCCAAAGCATCGCCCAGTTGTCATTTGTTGTTCTTTTGCACACTCACATGGGGATGAAGCATCACATTTTTGGGATTATAGTAGGGAGATCATATAGTGGGGCAATGGTGAGGTAATGGAGATTTAAGCACCGCAACAACATGTGGGTGTCTGAGTCTCCTAAAATTGGGCTACTCCTCTTCACCATTGGTTTCGCAATGAACATGAACAAATTTGCAGGATCTGGGGTTTCCCTACTTCAGGAATCCCCTACAATATCTTAGAATTGGCTCGAGATGTTAGATATTGCAGGAAAAACCTACCGCATAGGTTTTCTGAAAAAACCATTTCGGTGATCCACTGATTTCTGACCCACAGATGATCTAATTCTAACTCCAGTTCTCTTCAGGATTTCCCACTTGGCTCTGGGTCCTTGGCGATCTTTCGGGCCTTTTGGTTGCCTTTCGTTCATCCCCCCAGCTTTCCAAGTCCCTAAACCCATTGATGGTTAGCTAAGTTAGCTGCGTGGATGATCAATCATTGATCAATCCCTTCCCCCCAAGTATCCCCAAGTATTGAAGACCCCGAGTCGTACCGAAACCTTGCGCAAGATGTGGGGTTCTATTCATCTTGGGCCTCTCTAAATTGCGGGCTTATGTTTTTGGGGGGATTGTATGTTGTCCAATTTCTTTTTTTGTATACATTGTATACGCTTGAACCCCGTTTATTCGGTATATTATATCCCCGTTTATATCCATTGATAGATACCCCCTACATATGTTTCCCGCTTGATAATCATAAGTTCGAGATCCCTAATGCGGGACATCAGATCTGTACAATGGAGACTTAGTTGGTATTATATAAATTATATATTATATATATATTATGATATTGTATAGTTATTTACCGGAAGACCTACATGTCAGTGTCATCCCTTTATTATAGTTAACTACATTAAATCCGATTGTACAGTAGTCATGATAAATGATATCTATACTATGTATTTATAATATCTTATTTTATAATTAGCATTGTTCCCCAAACGGTGTGTCCACGCTGAGGGGTTCTTACGGTAAGTGTAAAGGCCGGTGCTTGATCAGGGTGCTCACGCTGGTCTGCGGCATTTGACCTGTAAATTTCCGCATAAAGTGGCTCCTGTGAAATCTTGACATGCGTTTCGACTGCCTAGACTCGCACAACGACTGCGCCGTGCTTTTGGACCCAATCTGGGCCGCGGCATTTTTCCTGTAAATTTCGGTATAAAGTGGCTCTTCTGATGTCTATTGTGAAACGTGGCTCTAATGTGACTCTTGTGAAATGTCCAATTTCGACTGTGCAGGCTCGCACAAAGTGTGTGTCCGTGTTCTGGGCCCAATCTGGGCCGCAGCATTTTTCCTGTAAAATATCCGGTAAAATTTTGTATTAAGTGGCTCTTCTGATGTCTATTGTGAAACGTGGCTCTAATGTGACTCTTGTGAAATGTCCAATTTCGACTGTGCAGGCTCGCACAATCCTGTAAATTTTCGTATAAAGTGGCTCTTCTGATGTCTATTGTGAAGCGTGGCTCTAATGTGACCCCTGTGAAATGTCCAATTTCGACTGTGCAGGCTCGCGCAAAGTGTGTGTCCGTGTTCTGGGCCGAATCTGGGCGTCGGCATTTTTCCTGTAACATTTCCTGTAAAAAGTGTCTCTTCTGATGTCTATCGTGAAACGTGGCTCTAATGTGGCTCTTGTGAAATGTCCAATTTCGACTGCGCAGGCTCGCGCAAAGTGTGTGTCCGTGTTCTGGGCCCAATCTGGGCCGCGGCATTTTTCCTGTAAATTTTCGTCTAAAGTGGCTCTTCTGATGTCTATTGTGAAACGTGGCTCGAATGTGGCTCTTGTGAAATGTCCAATTTCGACTGTGCAAGCTCGCACAAAGTGTGTGGCCGTGTTCTGGGCCCAACCTGGGCTTCGGCATTTTTCCCGAACAAAATCCTGTAAATTTTCGTATAAATTTTCGTATAGAGTGGCTCTTCTGATGTCTATTGTGAAGCGTGGCTCTAATGTGGCTCTTGTGAAATGTCCAATTTCGACTGTGCAGGCTCGCACAAAGTGTGTGTCCGTGTTCTGGGCCCAATCTGGGCCGCGGCATTTTTCCTGTAAATTTTTGTATAAAGTGGCTCTTCTGATGTCTATTGTGAAACGTGGCCCTAATGTGACTCTTGTGAAATGTCCAATTTCGACTGTGCAGGCTCGCACAAAGTGTGTGTCCGTGTTCTGGGCCCAATCTGGGCCGCGGCATTTTTCCTGTAAATTTTCGTAAAAAGTGGCTCTTCTGATGTCTATTGTGAAACGTGGCTCTAATGTGACTCTTGTGAAATGTCCAATTTCGACTGTGCAGGCTCGCACAAAGTGTGTGTCTGGTGTCCAATCTGGGCCGCGGCATTTTTCCTGTAAAAAATCCTGTAAATTTTTGTATTAAGTGGCGCTTCTGATGTCTATTGTGAAATGTGGCTCTAATGTGACTCTTGTGAAATGTCCAATTTCGACTGTGCAGGCTCGCACAAAGTGTGTGTCCGTGTTCTGGGCCCAATCTGGGCCGCGGCATTTTTCCTTTAAATTTCCGTATAAAGTGGCTCTTCCGATGTTGTGGACATTTCGACTGCGCAGGCTCGCACAAACTGTGGTCCAGGAGGTCTTGCCAAGACACCTCTTCTAGAGATCTGTACAGAGATCTTGCCATGAGGTCTCTTACAGAGATCTTGCCAACAGAGCTCTGGTAGAGAGATCTTGTACAGAGATCTCTTATGGAAATCTTGCCAGGAGATCCCTTATAGAGATCTTGTCTAATCTTGCCAAGATACAGAGATCTCATAAAGACATTTTGCCAAGAGATCTCTTATAGAGATCTTGTACAGAGATCTTGCCAAGACACCTCTTACAGAGATCTGTGCAGAGATCTTGCCAAGTGGTCTCTTACATAAATCTCGCCCAGAGATATTTTTTTAAAGAGAGCTTGTACAGAGATCTTACAAAGAGATCTTGCCAAGAGATCTCTTATAGAGATCTTGTCCAGAGGTCCTGCCAAGACACCACTTACAGAGATCTGTGCAGAGATCTTGCCTTGAGGTCTCTTACAGAGATCTCGCCAACAAAGCTCTTATAGAGATCTTGCACAGAGATCTCAAAAAGAGATCGTGCCAAGAGATCTCTTATAGAGATCTTGTCCAGGAGGTCTTGCCAAGACACCTCTTGCAGAGATCTGTACAGAGATCTTGCCATGAGGTCTCTTACACAGATCTTGCACACAGAGCTCTGGTAGAGAGATCTTGTACAGAGATCTTGCCAGGAAACCTCTTATAATGGAAAGATCTTGCACAGAGACCTGGTGAAAGAGCAGAGGCCTTGCTTGGAGGTCATTTCTAGATAGATTGAACAGAGATCTTACTCTTTGAGATCCCTTACAAAGATCTTCTGTGGAGATCTCCTAAAGACACCTTGTACTGCACAGCAGCTTCTACAGAGAACCTGTCAAGGAGATCTTGCGCACGATCTTCTACAGAGATCTTGACAAAGGGAACTTGCAGAATCTTACCTGGTATCTCTTCTTTTCACTACTAGGGTCGCTCTTGTCCTGCTAGCTTGCAGCCACTGATGCTTTTAGGTCCTTTCCGCCTTTCCTCCACCTCTTCATCCTCAACTTCATCTTCCGCATAATCATTCTCATCCTCATCCTCCTCAACATCATCATCCTCCACCACCTCTTCCGTAACATCATCCTCCTCCACCTCATCTTCCGCAACATCCTCCTGCTCCACCCCATCTTCCGCAGCATTATCATCCTCAACATCATCCTCCGCAACATTTTCCTCCTCATCTTCATCCTCGTCCTCATCCTCATCCTCATCATCATCATCATCATCATCATCAGCAGCACCACCACCATCACCACCACCATCACCACCACCACCACCACCATCATCATCATCATCATCATCCACATCATCATACATTATTATCCTCCCACTCCCCCACACTGTTTGGGGCCTCTTGGCGGGATATTTTTTTTATTTAGTTAGTATATCAGTATATAAGTATATCCAGCATCCAGTCTGGGTTTGTTTCAACATGGGGAAAGTCACTAAAGTCTCGAGGCCTTTGGAGGCGACGGACTGGAGCTAGAGGAGCTTGGTGATGCGGTGATGAAAGAGATGACAAGACAGGTGGGAAGTGACCGAAGTGACCGGTTCCGGTTTTGCCAAGGGATGGAAATCCCCAAAAACATGGGATAGAAATGGGAACATCTCCAAAACATGGGCAAATTCTCGAACAAATATGGGTTGAAGTATGTTGAATTGTTCTGGGAGAGGATTTTCTGACTCGAAAGGTACTCATTTTGAGATGTGTCGGAAGAGAAATTCGAACTAATTTCTGGATATAACCTCAGTGAGGTGCCAGATAACCCCACCTTGAATCCATTTATCCAACCATATTCAATTCGAGACCCGTTCAATGGACACAATTTTTGCTAAAATCCCCATTGTTATCATTGCTCATGTTTAAATCCCCATGTTTCATAGTTAAATCATGTTAAATCCAATTCTTCACACTGGAAACAAATGTTTTTGCACATCCCCATCGCAGCCCACAGATCTCCTCCTGCAGCCCGCAGCCTACGCTTCACCGTACCGGTCCGAGGTGCGGCTCGAAGCCTTAAGGCAAGAGCAGAACGGAAAGAGCGAAGTGCCTTGATTTTTGATGGAGATTTAGTGGTGATTTTTCCATCGGGATATCATGGAGATATGATGGGACAATCCCAGCACATCATATCATTGGGATTCATTGGGACATGTTGTAATGCAAATATCATCGGGATAAAATGGAAGTATAGTGGAAATATATTTAGAAATGGGGATGTGAATGGGACATATTTCTGTAACCAACAGGATGGTACTTGCATTCGGGGGTGTCTGAAAATTGTGTGTGCCATAGTATATCTACAGAAGATCATTTAGAAGATGATGATATTATAAAACCATTGGATTTGAGGTCGCCTATTTTCTGACAATCATTCACGATGCATTACAGGCACAATTTGGATGTTCTGTTGGGATCTGAAATTACCTGGATCGGGGTGATCCATAGCAGCCGGCATCATGATCCCCGAACGCAGTGCGTGACTTAGGAATTCTATGCGAAAAACGTCCGCACTGAACCATTGGCCCCTTGGCGATGGGAAACCCAGGTATCGAGCCAATCTCTATTGGAAGTGGGGCCACGGGATAGCCCAATCGAATTGGTTCCAAATATTAAGGACAGTTTATTGCGATTCCCAAAAGGGCTGGTAAAACATATTCTGAAGGTGGCATATCCCACTATATTCCATCTCCAGCATATCCCCATTGTGGTTCGTTTCATCTCCTAGTTTCTATCGCTTACCCTAACATGACTACGAACAATGGCCCGTTTGGTTCGGTCATTCCTATCCAACATGGTTTGAAACCAAAACGCGGCAGATCATACAACTCTCGAGGATCAATCGACAGAACATCCGATGGCCCATCCGCATCAGCAGAGGGTCCCGCCTAGAAATGGGACTAAGCAAGCGAGGAACCCTCCGATGGCCTCTGCACCAAGAAACTACTCGTGGTAGAGCTGAACTCTCCAAAGGCCCGTGAAAGGACAGAAAACCAATGAACAATGGTGCAATGAATCTAGTGGTGTAATGAGGATACAAATGGCAGGGAACCACTCGATCTGGACAAATGATGCGAACTATCCTGGTTGGTGAATTATTATGAGCTTTTGTAGTTCATCCATCCAGATGCAAATTGACTATCCTGTGGTTGGGAGAGAGCCAAAGAGCTACTGGTATCCACATTCCCTGGAAATTGATTACCAATAAAAACACACATATACTGTCAACTATTACATACTATTACCATTTTTTGCCATTATCAATTATCAATGATTACCAAGTAATCGCAATTATTGGCCCGTCACCCTCTGGCAATTTGACATAGCGATGGAAAATCTTCATTTTAAGTTGGGTAAATCATCGAACAGAATGGGTAATGTTCTATAGCAAACTGTTAAACCACCCCTACAGTACTATATAGCAACTCTAGATTAGCAATTCCTAGCCATCAAATAAGCTCACTAGTATCATTGTTTGTTGGTAATCCACTATTATTTCCCAAGAAAGACATAGCATTTTTTTGGGGCCATAATTATCTTAACCCTTTGTTTATACTGTTGACGGTCATTTCCGATATCTTTTTATGGGAAAACCCCTAGAATTCCCATGAAAATGGGGACTTAACAATAATAGGTTGATCATTTTTTGAACGATTTCACCATTTATAGCTCATGATACACCATTTCACCATAACTATCTTTCACCATGGGATTAATTAATAAAGCAGAGTAGATGGTTAGTTGTAGTATAATATATAAAAAAATATATGTAGATACAGTATATATATATATACGTATATATATATATACGTATATATATATATATACATATTGTATAAACCAACCTATTCCCATGAATATCTCATAGTAATAGTTGATCATTCAAATGCTATTGACTTTTGGTTCTTCAGACACTGCTAGTAGTTTGGTATTAGTTGAGTATTCAAATCAAATACTAGTTGGTTAAATCCCAAATAATGACTTAACAACAATAGGTTCACAACATTCGAGACCTATTTGAACTGTTTCACCATTAATTATCTTGGAATATCCCATGACATGTTCATTTTTTTAAACATTTTCCGTTGTTTTTTTCCATATTTCCCCCGATTTTTTCGTAATTTTTCACTGGTGAAACTCGGGGCACCAGGCGCCCAACTTGGACGTGGTGGACTGCCCGGGCCTGGTGGCCGCTGCGGCCAAGGGCCGCCCCGAGAACGTGGCGGCGCAGACGGCGCAGCTGGTGAGGCGATTTGTCGTCGACGGATGGTGCCCAGGGGGTCCCAGGAATTTCCCGGTTTTGGTGGTGAAACTGGTGCGAAATCCGCAGTTGATCTGGAAATATCTGGAAGATCTATGAGTTTTTGAGGTGTTATAATGGTTACTTGGATGTGTTTCCCAGGTATCCTCAGGTATAACCACAGGAAACAGACCAGTTATATGTGGAATGTTTCACGTTTTGGGATTCCTTGATCCGTTGCGCCTAGCAGGTGAAGTTTCCAGCTAGATTCACGAGTGAATCTCCCTTTTGGTTGCGAAAGAACCCCTAGGTTTGGTGGTTTTCTGCTTCCACTGCCGATAAGATCCCTAATTTTTGTTGCTTAGTGTGGTTTTGAAAACGACTTTATATAATCCACATTTTTGCTTAACTGGTAAAAGCCACCATCGCCAGCATCGACGTTCGATTCCCAGGAGCTACGCCAAGAAACATCGCTCCTCCGCCCTCTTTGTGGTGGCCGTGAAGGTGGAACCTGGCAGACCTCATGACTACAGTAGGGTAGGGGTTCAGCATGGGTTAGTAAATGAAATTCCCAGTATGCACCTTAAGCATAAATAGCTGATAACCCAATAGTTCCGCAACCCGCAGGTCAAGGGGACAACTGTGATTGCATGTTGCCGTGTGGGTCAAGGGGCCCTTTGAGCCTATGCAGGCTAAGGTCTTCGTGCGTTGTGAGATGGAAAACTGGTGAAGCGTTTGCCGCTTGTTCGTTTGTGGGATTCAGTTGGTAACTGCATCCATTTGCACTCCCGCCTCCACATGGTAGCGGAGCCGTGTCTCCGATAAGGGGCCGGCTACCGTGACAGGCGATTGCAATCATTGCCTCTAACTGGGAACATTGTTTCCTTTCTGGTGAGGACACAAGTCCTAAGGTGAGACCATATTGGTCTGATTGGTGGAGATGGCACTTGATCAGAGAGATGCCTTCAAGGATCTGCAATTCGATGGAAGACCATCAGGCTACAGGAGGACAAACATGCCCACCTAGCTGGACCACGTTTACTGAGTAAGCTTTCTGGAGAAGCATGGAG